TCTGAGAGCCGAGGTCAGCAGCTGCCCGGCGGTGCTGGCTCTGCTTCGTCCTGTTTCTGGGTTCACGGTCCTCCACCTGGCTCCTTCACCTGCACGTGTGGACGACACGCCGAGCTGCTGAGCGTGTTTTAATGAAGGTCGCAGTTATCGGCCATGTCCCTGCGCACAGAGATTCCTCTGAATCCTCTGATGAGTCTGTGTTTTCCTTGAGGACCATTATTCTGAAATTGTTCCATCTCCATATCAAAATCATCAGCTGTTTTCAGTCGGCCCCCCTCTGGTGCCTGCTACGCCCGCGGCCTGTTTTGGCCTCCACACCAACACCTTCAACATGAGCTGATATTTATTTGTGCAGCCCGACTCCTGACAGCCTCATGTAAACACCACCAGATTTCGCCGGCTTCCCGTACGCTCCAGAATTGATTTTAAGATTTTATTGCTTGTTTTTAAGTCTCTTAACGGATTCCCTCGTCCCTCTTTTAACTCAAAACACTCCAAACTCTAAGGTGATAAGTTGTGTGATCGCTGTGCGTAAACTTTGAACAGTCTGCCTCTCCAGCACTCGGCATCTTTAAATCTGAAAACATGATTGCGCCGTAGCTGTTTCCTGTGACGCAGGTTTGTTTTGTTCTCTTTGTGTGTTTGCTGTGCTTTCTACAGCGCTTTGGTTTTTAAATGGACTCAGTTTCAGTGTTCGACTGTGGCTTAAACAGAGTTTATCAGAGAAGTTGTTTCTTTAATTCTTGACTTTGATGGAAAAACGAGGAAGGACGTGGATCAGATTCCCAACGTTGTCAGAGGAGCTGAGCTTTCCACGCTAACCAGGCTCATCACAGATGCTTCGGCCTGTGTGTTCGGACAGTTGTGCAGTTACATACACATGTGGTGCAGACAGATGATTCACACTGAAATACAGAACATGCAGAGTTGCAGCGACTTTAAAGGAAACCATCTGCTGCAAATGCATGTGAGCAAAGATGCAGCTGTTGCTGAAACAGATCAGCGGGCTGTTTGCATCCTGCAGGGCCTTTAAACCTCCTCTGTTAACACTTCAGTATATAAGCAGGAAATAAAACCATGTTTTCAGATCAATAATCAACTACATGAAATCACGATGAAGAAAATAAAAGTTTGCTGGATAACAAAGGCGGGCTCCTCATCGAGTGTGTGCTGAAAGCTGATATCGCACGTATGAAGCAGAACCAAGCTCGTACGTCCCCGGGGCCCAGCGTGGCGTCCAGACAGCAACGGGTGAATAATAAATGAAGTGCGGCGGAAACAACGGTGAACACAGAGCACAGGTTAACACTTTAAGGTTAACACTGTCACCAGCAGCCTTTCATTACGCGTCAGAAGCTTTCAGAGCGAGCAGCGGCGCGAGGACAACGCCGGGAACCAGAGTGATGGAGAGGAACCCCACCTCTGGTACCAGTGTGGACACAG